GCGCTTCTCATTTTGGTCACTTATCCCTCATTGTAAAGGTCTGTATATTTCATTGCTGGTGCAGCAGCTTAGGGGATACATTTCAAAGCAGCAAATAAAAATTGGCTAAACTTCCAAAATTAGCACTTCAAAGTCAAACATGATTTGCAGCGAGGGAAGGGGTGGAAGCAGTGTGACTGTGAAAGTGCGTTCGTAAAAGCTAACTGCGTGTGCTTTTACGTGTGCGTGTGTGCGTGCGTGTGTGTGTGTGTGGTGGAGCTGATGTACAGAGTTCAGCATTAGGCCTTAGAACCAATTTCTAGGCAAATTGGTTTCATTTAAGAATGAGATCACAGAGTAAGCAAACCTCTTTTAGGGCAAGTTCATGCATCTGTAGCCATTTATTTCAGTTTCATATGCATTGCACCGGCTGTTTGTAGGTACAATATACACAATCTTAGCCGTGGGCACCGTCCTTGGTTAACGTGTTTATACTTACCTGTTATTACCAACCAGTTTAATAGTTTCTTCCATTTCATTGCATTCTGTCAAAAAGAGCTTCAGCAGTAATTTAGTTTTTTTTTCTTCTATATTCCTTCCAGCACTGTTGTGGAATCAGCACTAATCAAAGCCACATGCAACTAATTGCCCTCTCCAGTTCCTTGCTCGTAGCACACGCCAACCCATTAGGCATCAATTGAACATATGTTGGAGTTTTTGAGTGTGTCAACATCAGTTTATTTTCAAGGAGAATAATAGTCACTTAACCACCGTAAGCATCTTTGCACACATTGTCATTTGTTTAAAATAGCTGCATTCTGCACATTTTAAAATACATGCTGGAGTTCTGTCCCTGTCAAGGTCACAGCTGTTTGTTTAAAGGACAATAATGGTTCATGAGCAGAATATATAGATTATTCATTCAAACTCTGGTGTAAATAACAATAGGAACCAAATAAAATTAACCAACCTCACCTTTTTTTTTCAAAATATTTAAACAGGAAAAGGCCAAACCCCATTAAAGCGGCCATTTATCCAATACTGTCAAAGTTTATATTCGGTAACAGAGGGCATTTACGCCTCAAGAACAAATAACTCACTTATTCTGAAATGTCTCAACAACTATTTGATGGATTGCTTTGCTTTGAAATGTTGTAAAGACATTGATGAGATTTTGGTGATCCACCCAAATAAGTTCTTTTGACAACGGTGAATCATCAACTACTTGATGTATTGGCACAGCACGGCACAGGAACTCATGGTTGTCAGAGGATATATCGAAACGACTTTGGTGAACTTCCTTGATCAATTATTGAAATATCGGAGGGTTTGCTGTGAAATCTGGTGCCCACATATGGTGCTTATGTGATTAATTGAAATTACTTTAATCTTGTGCCATAAATTAGCTCAACAATTTGACAATAGTATCTTACTAACATGATTGACCAACACGATGAGCATGCTAAACACCAACTTGCTAGCATTGGCTATTGTTAGCATGTTGAATGCTGACGTGAGCATTAACTCGCTGACGTGAGCATTAACTCAATGTACAACCTCACGGCATTATGGCTGTAGAGGTTTAGTCTGGTTTTATTCTAATATCCTAGAAAACATGCCCAAACAAATTTGCAGGTCCCGGTGTTTTGGCCAAAAGTACTTCTGCAAGTACTAAAATAAAAACACTCAGGCTCCATAGTTCATACCTGAGTGTACAGGTCCACATTATCAACGACTCTGCATTACATTTACACTTCTTTTCCATTGACCAAGCCCAAAACTGAAAACTCACTCACTGTGCATATTTCGAGGGAACAACTTACAGCCGCTTACAAAAGTCTTAGGTCGTCATCTGCCCTCTGGAAGGAAGCTCTCCAGTGGAAGTTATTTCATGCATAGTAATGCGCACACTCTCTCTGGGTTTTCAACGGCATCCAGAAGAAAATTGCCAATGCTGACATTCATTGCAGGAAAATGGTTCGATACCCTTTGGTGTTTGAGCCCAAGCAGCACCAGTCAGCGTTTGCGCTCTGCAGCTCAGGTTGTTGAGGGTCCCCATCAACAATATCATTCCCGCTGCAGCCTTTGCTGCATTTCTTTGGCTTAATACTCTGGATTAGATGAATTAATCTGTACTGCATGTCTTTGCACTGTTGGAGGAAGCCAGAGAGAACCATATCTAAACCTGGTTTATTCGCGATAATTATATTTTCCTTATCTTAATTTGGTATTTGCATATTGTACATATGTCTGCATTTGTGTTATTGTGCTCATATGCATGTTATTCATGGTGCTGTTACATTGCAGCTGAACCCACCCGTTAAGGTGGGTGCGAGATAGAGAGTAAACTGTTTTTTAGTGAAAGTGTCGTCTTTGCAAAACTGAATGCCAGGGTATGGTTGATTCAGTAACATTATTTTATTCGATAAAATAGATTAGATTTGTAAATTTTGGAAGTGAGACGGAGAGAGGAAGATACAGTGGAAGCTGGTGGACGGTCGCATGCTAGTTGATTTGATTTAGACATAAATATACGTGATACTTGATTTCTAAAGAAGGAACCTTTCTAGTCTACAAACTGTCCCGTCAACAAAGTAACTTATTGTGGGATAGAAATGATTGTCCAGAGTTGTTATGCAGATAATGATTTGAATTTCCCATATGGCAATAATGAGGTTGATTCCTCGCCAACAGTTGGACTCCAGTCCAATTTAGAAAATACACTGGCAGGAGGTAACTATGCTACCTGTAGTAATCAAAATGCACGGCCGACTATCAGTCCGTTCCCCCCAAAAACTCATCCATAAAATTAAATTCATTATAATTAGAACTGTTGCAGTGTTGATGGATCCAGCGAGAAACACAGAATCGGTACTCCACTTGGAAATTTGGCATCTTCTCCACTTATCTTCCTTTCCTTGAGGTTTTCATTCTATGTGCACCCTTTACGAGCACGCTCCGCTGACAGCTGTCCCTATGTCAATATGAATGTCTGTCAAGAGAGATTATACATCACATGAATCGAGGCAGATAATGAGCAAGAGGGAAGGGCACTTTTTAACACCCCCTCGTGTGCAACATATGACACCAGCCAAGCTAATTAAGCAGATGCCATAATGCAGTAATCAGGAACACAGAGGAGGTTGGAGAATTCACAAACTTGAGTCATAACCGCACAACATTTGGTGCTTAAGAACTTCTCCACTAAAACCAGCAGATGGGAAATGACAAGCTGCGGTGGATGCGGACGTGTGCGAGGATCCGTGTGTGTGCCATGTTTTGTAGTTCGCTGTGTGTATGTGTTTGTTTCTTTCATATTTTCATATTTATATTATTAAAAATGTGTTTGTGGGCATTCACAATTGTCTGTAAGCCTACATGGATCTGTGCTCCACAAAATGTGTGTGGATGTACAGCTGGGGAAAGTGTTACCTGCTGAGGTGTTTTCATCATTTTCCAGAAAACGAGCAGCCGCTAGAGTCACATTTTTTTCCCTCTATAAATCAATCGAGGAATTGCAATTAAAATGCTCTCCTTAATGCAGTACCTAATCCTTTATTTGCACACCTGCCGGTGAGTCTGGTTTTTTAATGAATTTCTAATTAATGTTTTTTGCACATTTGATTTATGGGTTAGCAAACTATATCGCCGTTCTGTGTCCCGCTCATAGAAACGTGTCAACTTAATGTCACAAATGGGTGGAAATCTGAAGTTTGCCAGCTTTCCCCCGTAAAAGAAGTTTTGTGTTGAATAATGATGAATAATTAAAAGTGGAGGTTTGACTATTCTTTAATTGTTGTAGGCCGTTTTCATACCCCTGAGCTGAGCCACGTTCAGGATTATAAACGTTCCACGTTATGTCTGTATTATTGAGCTTTTCACATGTAGACATGATGTGCAACCTTTTTAGCACAGGTTTGATCTCAAAAGGACCAGTGAATGGATCTTTGAGGCCTGTATTGCAGAAACGGTGCACAGGTACTGTCTGTCTCACAGTTTTCAGGTACTTCACAACATCACGTTAATTAATTCATTAATAGTGATGTAACGTTTGGATTTCAGAGTGAAACACAAGAGGTCTGGTAACAATTGTCGAGAAATGAGACGTCTGTCCAGACTGTTTCGTGGCATCTTTCCTGTTACTGAACTTGAACTTAAATAGCATGAAGTTGTTCATTGTTCCCATTTGCTTTCTGCTTCTCTCTTCATGAAATAGTGATGTTTGTAGCCATTACTCTCCATTGTTTCACCATGTAACAAACTTGTCAGTTAAACGGTTTGTTCGTAGCACCATGTCAACAATAGTCACATACAATGGTAGTGACAGTTTACACATTCACTAGAAATGCATTAAGAACGTTATCAGGGTATTGATCTACAGTGAAATAAATGCCCCTATATCCACTGTGTATCCCTGTATAAATGATATGCAGAGTGGTTGGTAAGCAGAATGCAGCATATTTTTGTCACCCTGGAGATCTACACCTTTCTTATATGGTCTCAGTCTATTAAAGTAAATCTGATCTGATGTGTGAATTTCCTGGAAGAATTAAAAAGTACTCATTGAGCTGCTTAATATTTGTGGCTCTTCATATTATATAGTAATATATATTATACTACATACTATTCTATATTGTGTTGTCTGCTTACCCAGTACAAGTTGAGGGGTTAACATAATTACCAAAGCCATTGGCATCACTTGAACAATCAGGTGAGAGTCTGACAGGGCCAAGTATATTGTTTGCTTTTGGTATATGTATCATAAATAACCTCATCAATTAAAACTGACAGCTCCATTAACTTGAGGCTTCTGTGATGAGTACTTTTTTAATACAGCAAGTTTGAAACTGACTCCAACTCAATGAGCATTTATTTTCTCTCTAATTTATTTGCTGTTGCATTTCATTTCCTGGCGAATTCACCCTGATAATCAGATTGCAATTAGTGAGGCATGAATCACAGGGAGCTGCTCAGCTTAACTCACTCACTTTCATGACACCTGCACGCTCACAACAACACGGTTTGGAGAAGCATTCTTTTATTCCAAGTAAATGTCTTATGTAGTTCATTTTAAACAGCATTTCTAATTCAGAATTCTGTAAAATGTAATAAAACTTGTTTTTCGTTGCATCATGTTTTAAAGAAATACTTCAAATAAATTTTCTCCTGCAAAGCATTTTTTTTTTTTCAACATTGTCGTTTTCGGAGACATAATTACATATCAACACATGGGCCGACTTCCTCCGGCAACTTTGATTTTGGTACAAGAGAAAAAAAAAACTCACCTTGAACATTTAAGAATCTTTAATTCACACTAGTAATAAAATTGCATTACATTTCATAAAATAAATGTTCCAGTTTATATATACAGAGAAAACAGACTGTACATACCCTCCAAAGAACCATTTCTAAAAGGAAAAAGAAACCAACCGGAAACAAATTTCACAAAACAAACAAGCAATACAAGTGCTCAGCTAAGCAGGCACAACTGTACATCAAAATTTGTAACTGCTCAGTGTTGGGGTGTGGGAGGGGTGAAAAGTTGAACATTTACAATAGAGTCCTTAGGGACTGATAAAGGGGTCTTAAAAAGTATTGCAGGCAAGCAGACATACGCTTGTCTCTTTTTCCAAGTGCAGCAGAAGATCCATCTGGTGTGTAAAGCGTGGAGCCGATTGTTGCCGCTACGAGGTTCCGACTACTGAACCTGTGTCTCGAAGCTCCCGTTCAGCTGGCCCTCCTCATAGTCCATTTGACACAAAATCATGTTGTTTTTTAGGAAAAACTTGTCCCCCACGCAAAACCTGAGAGAACAACAAACAAAGGCAGAGCCGCTGTTAAAAACACAAAGATGATTGCCGTTGGCATTATGACAGCGTGGTGTTTGCGTATTGACCGCGGTGACTCTGCTCTGGCGGTGAAGATGCTACATTTAAGATCAGCAGGCAGTGATGACGCCGTTTGCGTGCACGCGTTAAAACGGCAACATTTCAACGAAAGCCGGCATGAGTACTGGCTCCTAAACCCGCTCCTCGGCCGTAGGGTTAGATTTTACAAAACCAGTTTGGTTCCAGTGCTCCGCAATGTTCGTTCCTCTCTGAAATCTCAGTGTCAATTGAGGAAGAAAAACAACCCGTACTGATGTTCTTCTCTGTGCTGCTGTGTGTGTGTGTGTGTGTGTGTCACAGTGGAGACAGCCCCATAATGTGACTGAAGGGGAGTGAAGATAAGAATATAGCAAAGCGTAGCTTAGCTCCAGTAATGAGCCAGGCTGGTAAAACAGTCACGGCCGTGGCGATGCGCTGCCAGATGAGACCTGGCTACATGTCTGCCAGCTGAGAAGAGAGACTGCAGTCATAATTCCCTTATAGCAGGTGTTCACTATGGTAACTGAATCTGGCCTGCAGAAGGTTAATGGGCTTGTGCTGTGTGGAGGAACAGGGTCACAGGCATGCAAAGGATGCTCTGCTTGCAGAGTGGTGCCATTACCGACAGTATATTAATGGGAAAAAGCAATATTTGGGTATGTCATATTCTCTGTGTATTATCACATGGGCTTTGTGCTCACTCCATTTAGATCGTATTGCCAGGAAATAACCATTTCACACCTGTATAGGTCCGTGCTCTCTTATGCAGCGACACACCTCTGGAGGACTTTCTATTTGTACCTCCTATACGTCCTCAAAAAAAAGAACAAGAGCTAATTCTGCAGCTCCCCGGCTTGAAAGATTTACAGATTTAGCCACAAACAAACCGCTGGAGTGTGTCACAATCCGAAATAATTAGCAATGCATCACACAGAAAGCAATCTGCAACTTCTCTACCTAGAATTGTCAAGTGATCTGACAAAAAAAAGCTTCTAACATTTAAGCTATTGGCCATTTCAACAGTTCATGTTTTATTTCTTTTTAAAGGCGACGTAATGATCCCCATTCTTACCTCTGGTTACAAAGCTGACAGGCAAAACAGTCCAAATGGTAAACATTATCTCTGGCTCTCATCACCATTTCAAAAGCTGGGATCAGTTTACTGCAGGCTGCACAGTTCCCCGTCGTACCAAAGAGCCTGAAAGACAGAGAGCACAGGCAGCGGTTAACACACCTCCCTTTTACCTCAATGCAATCAAAGAGTATACAAAAACGCTCTGACAGCAAGAACAATAGAGTCGAATGCGGCAAATGAAAAGAAAAAAAATAGGGCAAAATCTTAATACGTTGAATGCACAAATATTTCCTGGCACCCAGTTGGTATTTTTGTTAATTAGAGTTACAAACATCGATCTTAATTCCGGGCTAATGATCTAATTAAAACAATCACATGGTTTTAATCTTCTTCTTCTTCAAAGACCCCCCCTCCCCTCCCTCCCCCTCTGCATTACAAAAAGCACGAAAACAAGTCTGAAACAAACAATTTAAATTGTTGAAAGTTATCTTCTTTCATAGCTAAACTACCTAATGAGGCTTTTCTCCAACCGAAGCCAGCTGGATCTCCGCACAGGAGGCTACGTTCTATAATGTAGTTCAAAAGATTTCTGTTCCAAGGATTCAGGCTCAATCTCTTTCTCCATCTCCCTCTTTCATTCCGAGAGGCACCCGAGACACTGATGGAAGATGTTACCTTGAAGAGTTAACTAAATGTTTCACAGTGAACCAACTCGTTAACTTCAACCTCGCGGTGGCTTGTTTGGGCCTTTTTAGGAGCCAGATGATAAAGGGCACAAACGGAGCAAGGAGGCACTGGTGTAGACCTCTTTTCTCCTCAAAGCAAAGGAACCTCCGATGCTTTCCCAGTCCGATTTACATTTTCATTTTCCAAGCGCCTGCCCCTATGTTTAATGTGGAGATTCTGAGGCACAGATAGATTTATATATTCTGCAGGAAGAGAAGAAGCGCTTCGCAGCTTTGCGAGAGGGGATAAGGCAACAGCAGATTGCTGCTCCAACAGTATGTTAAACACGTTTTTCCCAAAACTTGTAGTGCTCAGACAGCGGCGTCACAGTGCTGATATTCTGCCGTGTTTATGCTGGTCCCATTCAGTGGCTTTCACCCTGTTAAAGAAAACGTCTACCCAGCAGCCCTGCTTCTAATTAGAGGCCAGTGCCCCAGAGGAGCGGGAGAGACAGAAACCGAGGGAGAAAGGCTGTTATGTTCCATGAGAGGGATTCACGCGGTGTTTAACAGAGACGTTCTTGCAACTGGTTTTCCACGTTTGAAAAATGATAGTTTTGCCCTTTTCTGCAGATCTCGGTGCAGATCCGCCAAATGCCCAAACATCAGTGTTACCGTGCTCCTTGTTTCCATTAAAGTAAGTACGTTTTTCTGGTAGCTTTAATTTCTAGATTTGTAACACAATTAAGGTCTAATTATTTTCCCCGTTGGATACAACTGTCTCACACCTCCTGTGTCATCGTGACCGTCCAGGGGCTCCGGTTCAGGTCTTTAGACTGGACTGAAGGGCCACACGGTGATGTCATTCTCCCTCCCTCTGGGGGGGCCGAGGCTATACGAGGGCCCGGGAAGCCACTAATGCACACACCTGTAAAAGCTCACAGGATCATTCTAACCCTTCTCTCACGCTGCCCGCTCGGCCGCGTCCACGGTGCCGACGTGATACGTGCAGGTTGTGAAAACAGCTGGTGGGGAAGCCCCAGCTTGCCGCCGACACCAAGTTCTACCTTCAATCAAAGCCGTGTGTGACTCCCGAGGCTGCTTTTCACCTTTCAGCTGCATTTTGTATTGTCTACAAACCAATGATTCCAGTTTGCTGTTCCCATATGCAGCCCCAGCTAATGTCAATGTGTTGCATTTTCACCTGACTAGTCTAGAAAAACTGAATATTTTGATTGACTTGCAGAAGTCAAAATGTTTAAAGGGCTGTCACAATACAAATATTACAACCAAAAATATGCATATCTTACAAAATCCACACCCAATCTGATTAGGGGTGTAATCAACACCCTGCAATGAGGCATAAACACAGTGCAGATGGGATTCTTCAACTATACCCGGGCCCTTAATTTGTCCTGAGGATGTTATCTTTAGAAAATAGCCAGTGGTGCTATTTAGTGAGAGACGAGTATTCATCTAATAGCAGGGAAAGCCCTCGCACCTTTCAGGTAGACGCAGAGTAAAAATGAAGTGCCGGGACCGCGTCATGTTCTCTTAACTGATGCTGAGTCCACCTGACAGACTTCAGATCATGACGAGATAAACTCCTTCCGTGCTAAACCAACGTCCTTATCTGCTTTGTGATTTACTATCACAGGCAGAAATGTGGTACAGCTTCCTTCTTCACCATAACATTAAGAGTTGGAGTGTAAGAAAGTTTCCCACTCACTGAGTTCTTCTGCCAGCTATTGATGTTTCTGGTTTTTAGCGTGGTATCAACATATGGCTTAATTGGGCTCCTTGTGGTAAGAAGAGATTACAGCCTGAGAGAACTGTTCAAACACTTTGCACTCTTCTCAGTGCTCCTAGTTGAACCAGTGCTACAGCAATCTCATGAGTAATAGCTGAAGCGGAGCTGCATGTAGCTGCAAATGAATGTTTCACACCGAAACGTGGCTGAGATTAAAACTTAAAGGGATAACGGTACCTTCATACATTGTGGATTACCTTTAAATAGCCTTCATTTAATTTACAATAGTTTCTGTTTTGACTATCTTCTGCAGAATGCCCATGTATCGTTCCAACACACGCCCTGGAGGATTGCAGTGGCTCATGCATTTCCATTTCCGTGGTCATTTGGATGAAATAAATTAAAATTCACAAAAGGAGAGTAACAAAAAAATCAACATACATTTTTAGGATTTTTATACAAACAGAGCATGAATGTTGAGTTTCTGGAAAATAAATCTGGTTCTGTGCTGCTAGTAATACACTTAGCCAAGTGTTGGAAGTCGATCAACTGCATTGCAACAGTTTGAAGCACATCTTTTAAAATGGATGTTTCTGTTGTTTACTTGAACGCATTAGAGGGTCTTACGTGCTGATTGTGGTTGCTTCGCACAACGTGTTTATAATAAGTGTTTAATGTACAAGATATTGTAAATAACTAAAATACTTGGAATTACAAGGTCACAATGGGATTCATCATTGTTGAAGCTTGTATCTGATGATGTGCATAATGTATATTGTGTAACTTCATAATTGCATTAGATTCTTAGTGGGAATTTCTATAAAAATGTAAAACTAATTCATTTGAATAGCCCATTCCACGATCTATGAGGAATCAATATGATTTTACATGCATTGTGTGCAAACATGTATCGCTCCCTAATCACCGCTTCAACTGCAGAAATATTTAGTTGCCCAAAATGTTTCTTTGTGTGCTTGTGTGGGTTGTTGGGAGAAGAGTTTGATGTCAAAGATGTAAAGAAGCTTCTGTTAGTGAGTCATTACAATCTCTCTTCAACTTGCTGCTTTGACTTCAAGCCCTTTAAGCATCATCTGTCTTTCTGTTTTGCCTCCCTCCGATTGAGCTGCGGCTCTCAAAGTTTTCCAGATCTTCTCTGAGCTCTTTGAGACTTCCCGGCCTGCACGGAGCTGGTCGGATTTCATAAAAGAGAAATCTGTTAATGCATGCATGCATGTTCTGACCTTCTCAAAGAGTTGCGTCTTTTTGAAAGCGTAAACCTTTCGTTTTGGATTGAATTCTTCAGAGAGGGAGAGCAACTGTTTCTACCTACTATAATAGTAAGGAGAGGAACGATTTGAAAAACAGTCACATCCAGATGGGGCTATCATCTTCTTCCTTCTATTTCACCGTTTTGCGGATAACTTATAATTTTCATTATCTTGAAAACGTTTTCCTCTTAGAGTTAATTATACCCCATTTTGATAAGTGGATGACTATTATGTCCTCTCTAATATATGAAATAGAGGATTAAATGATTTCAGGCTTCAAGTCCTGATGATCACACCATGACTAGATTGTCAACCCTCTGGTGAAGTCGTGCGATCCCGGGCCCTAGACATAAAGGAAACGCCTAATTAATCTATTATTCTCATTTATAATGAAACAGTGTGGCCAAGTAGATAAAGAAAAGAACTTGATACCGGGAAAGTGAAAGAAACTGAAAGTTTTTCTATTGCTGCAGTGGTTTGGAGGACAGGGGAGGGTGCTGCTTAAGGTATACACAAGGTATTGTCGGCTTGTGTGTGTTGAAGTGTAAGATTCAGGAAAGCGTGAATGTATTCAATAAGCTGCTGATTGAGAGCCAGTGAAGGACAATCGCAGATGGCGCTCCTATAATAATTAATGTAAGCATGGCAGGCATCCAAACCCGGGGAAATAACCAAAGTGTGTTTGATCCATCGGCTTGTCTTTAATGAAGTGCGGGAGGCTAATTCAGTGCACACATTTACTTTCATTACTGCAGGTAAGCGGAGCCTCCGTCTCACTATGCAGAAAAGATGAAATGAAAAGGAAACTATTGCCGAATGACTTTATCAACTACTGTCAAATACTGTGGTGGCTAAAAACTGCCTGTTCTCTGTACGCAAGGCAAGGTTTTTTAATTTGTTCCATAATAGAATTCATCTCAAGCATCTCTAGCCATTAAGCACTCTGCATTTGTCGCAGGCTGAAGAGCAGGCGAGTGGGATGGATTTCATTAGGCAATCCGGGGCAACAGCGGAGCACCGAAAGCTCTCTCCTCACCTTTCCTTTTTATTCTTATTTTAGTATTCCTAACTCTTGATTCCATATGTCGTTCTTAGTTTTTCATCCCGTCTCTGACCTGCACATCTTGCCGATCTAATGTGCGAGAAAGCTTTTGCTTCTCCCTTCACAGTGCCAGTGAGGCACTTATTGCTCGGGGGTTGGGATTGCTGTCCTTTCAGCAGATGTGTTCTACCAAGTGAAACTCTGAGCTTCATCATTTTTGCCTTCTCTTGATCATTTTCCCATTTATTATTACCTCATCTGCACCATCTGCCCCCCTCCGGGGGTAACATCATGTCTTAGTGGACCTCTCACTGCATCTTAAAAGCATTAAGTGTGGGTGGGGACTGATGGATGGTAATGGCCTATCTCAACATAACGTCCCTAAGCACCTCTCAAGTAGGCCGCGGGCTTCGTCCAGGTCACATGAGGGGCTGAGACGTAGGTAAAATGTCACGAGATCCACGAGTAAGGTGGGGGAGAAGAAGTTGATTAAGGTCCTCTTGGGTTTGGATACAAGATCATGGCTGCTGCTGTTTGTCAGTTAGAATAATGAGCTGATACAGACCTCGTTGGTAGCAATAGGCTGGAGGTACCATTGAGGGAGCGAGGAGACAAGTAGTCAGAAGAAATGTGAGGAAAGGGGGCGTGAGGCAGCAGGATAGAGGGTATTAAAAGGGGGGCGCTGGGGTACCGGCATCTCTAAGTCGGCCCCTGGAGGATTCCCTGAGAGATAAATGGTAGAATCTCATTGGGAATGTGACTTAACGCCCAGGAAATGGTCATGTTTAATTTAACTAGCAGATGGCAGGGGCATCTGAAGGGGGGGGGTATACAGAGCCAGTGACACTGGTGAAGCAACAAGCCTGGAGGATTCTCACAGTCTGCAGCTCGGGTACAAGGAATCTTTGAATGATTAAGATTTTAGCCGTGTTTCTGTGGAACGGAAGCCACGGACGACGACGACGACACAACGAGAAGCAAACGGTACCAGCAGGCAAAGAGAAAACCACCTTTGTGATTCTTTCATGTCACACAGCTCTTGCAATGGCATGGCATTTGTGTTTGTTGTGAGGTGGAGAGGGGTGATGGTGTGTCTCGCTTGCCTCAGGTAGTCCCGGCGACAGAGGATGAGGTTGGCTTTCGTGTAGAGGGTGGAGCCCACCTCCCCCAAGCGGCAGTCACAGCAGGCACATTTGAGACAGTCCTCATGCCAGTATTTGTCCAGGGCCTTGAGCAGGTAGCGGTCTTTAATCTTGCGATTGCAGCCGGCACACCCCTTCTGTTTCCCTTTGGGCTGGACGGAGAGCATCGGCACACCTGTAGTGATAAGGAGACAAACAGCCATGAGTGATTTACGGCCCGGGAACACAAGTGACTTTTTATGTTCTCTTTTTGATAAGCTGGCTGCTCCTCCGGGCGCCTGAGCCTGGCCTCGCGCACGGCCGCAGCGCACGGCCTACCTGCTTCATATTTATTAAAGGGAAACATTCGTCCATGTAGATAGGCGCACAGGTCACATTTGGACCACAAAGCCCGGACTAAAATGATCCCTTGCAGCAGGTTTCTGAGGAAGGAGCCCGTCTGAAAACACACGGTGTTTATTTAGTTTAGCGTGGTATTTACAGGGAGCGGTGTAGTACGTTAGTTACCTGCCATTTCATCAAAGACCATTTCACTCAGCTGTCTACAGCTGTAAAAGCTCCTCATGGGCTTTGTTTGGTATAGATTAACATTAACCTTTTAAAAAGCCTCTGACCACAAAAACGTTGCTACCAGACCCCAGTGAGATATGTTATGGCCTAAGTGCCTTTTAGCATACACTCACTCTCCGTGTTCTACACGCACACACAAAAACACACGCACACGCAAACCACAGACAGACACACAATGTTCCCTACTCAGAGCATTACTGCCTTACCTCCTTTTACACTTATCTGTACTCATGTGTCCGCAACGGGCAAGCCTAAGTTACCAAACTCGCAAATTGCCCTGCTGTCACGCAGGTCCCCTTTAAGCGCGCCTCTTAGCCTCCTAAAGGACAAATAAAGTCCATTTAATAACAGCACTAAACACTAATAGTCTATGTGTGGTTGACATTTGTGTTTGGACTAAAAGCCCCCCTCAGGCCACTGCTGGTACGGAGGCAGGGGCGCGCAGCTCCCCTCTGCAGCACTAACAGGTCTGCCACAGCTGAAAGCACAAGACAACAGCTCTTAAGACACTCTCTCACACACTGAGCTATTGATCCATCTAAAAGAACACACAGTGGACGCCACTTGCCACTCTACTTTCAAAACACATTTCTCTCTCTCTTAACAAAAAAGAAGGAGACCAGACACTCTGCATCACGGGGGGTTAGGTCAGCATTTTGTATGTGTGGGCATGTATAAAGGCCCTTTTTAAAGACCTGTTATATTGGGTTTTATATGAAATATCACTGTTTAATCGTTGCACTTTAGAGATGTGCACAGGTAGGTCTTCATTTTCATTTCATTTGCGGGACAGGATGCGAAAATGAAACAACAGTGTTGTTAAGTATGAATGGGGTTCATTTCGTAGTTTGAGCTGCCATTTTCAAATAACTTGATGTATGAACGTGATAAACCCAACCTCAGCTGGTAACCAAGGACTGTTTCATCCTCAACAGTTTTTGTCTGCTGACCCTCTCGAGTTTTTGTCTTATACCACTTTAAAATACGGCTTCGGAATAGAAAAGCACATTTGTTCTCTGCCTCTCTGTCACTCACTCACATGTGCACTTACAAACTACACTATTGCATCCAGATTGGCTCGGCAGTCGTTGGCCGTCCACACATCAATAATGCTATGAATGTAATACAATTAGAATTTCCCCTTTTTATAAAAAGAGGTGAAAGAAATAGCAAAGCTTGTTAGTTAAATGTATGGTTTTTGGTTTATATGTCAGTTGGTGCTCTGGTAGTGTTGAGCTGCCTTACTTCTTTATCAGCAGTGGAAAGCAGAGGCTAATTGGTCCGGTGCTGATGTTGGGAGCCATCAATTAGTGCTGTACCTGCCCTCCAGCTTCCTCAACCCCCCCCACACTCCAAAAACAACCCCTTGAAGCCGGCGCATTAGGATCACAAAACCTGCTATAAATACCAATGTTCAGTATAAATGAAGCTAAAAAGCTTCAAATTCAAGCCACACTGGTTAAAGGTGGACTCTTCTACCTGCATTTCATGGCTTGTTAGGGGAGCTCTGTGCAGGTATGCCTGACAGACTTCTACAGAACTAAAAACAGTCCTAATGAGGAGAGGAGGAATGTGTGTATGTGTGCGTGCCTCACAGCTTGTAGAAAGACAAAGAAAGGAGTTGATGCAATTCTCTCGGGGATCACAAAATTCTTTAATTTTCCTTTTATGACACCTAATTAGTTATTCTACTCAAAATCTTTGCTTTAAATAAGATAACTAATTATACAAAAAGGTCGCTCCTCCACCTCCAGAGAACTACTCCTAATTGGTTGAGACCATCAACCACCACATACTCCTTAAACATATCACGTGTGTGTTTTACATCACGTTTGAAAAGGCCAAAGCTTAACCTATGCTGGAATTACCGCATGCTGCCCATCCCCTCTATTGGATGTTTAAAAGCCTGTTCTGCATCATCAAAGTGAAACCATTGTTTTCAGCGTTTCTGACTCTCGCATCTTTACGCATGTGTCCTGGTCCTTCAGTCCTTCTGCCATTTAAGAGAGATGCCTCAATGGAGGAATACGTATAATGTCTGCCGGGAAACCAGTCTGCACATTCAACTGATGCCTCCTCCTGGAAGCCGTTCCATGGGAAGAAACGCAAGTTTGACGTCTTCCACCGGAGCAGCTTCTGGAAAACGGCTTCAAAAGTTGTGTAGCAAGCACTAGATCCAACCTACGAAACAAAGAGCAGTAACAGGAAAGAGAAAAGTGTGTAAAGTAAATGTCTTTTCAATTCCCTTAATGCCACAAGACATTTTCTTGCACCTGTCACCACTCACGGCGCTATGTGAAACTGTGGAGTAGAACAGAGCCTCCCATGCTCGCCACCTCCCAGAAAGAAAAAGCTGCATTATGAAAGGAAGCAGCAGACTAGGAGGCAGCCTCCACTTAATCCAATCCATTTAACCGATACAAGTGCCACTGACCTTCCAGTGTCATTTGATGTCACCAAAAGCATGCCTCTCCACATCACAATTCATTCTCCAACAAGGGACGCATTTTACCCCTCAAAGTGGAGAGACGGCACTTGCCCTGCCAAATATTCTTCCTAAGAGGGAATTTAATTTGCCATTAGTACTGTGTGTAAAGGCCTGTCATCTTTCTCTTCTACAATCCATCTACTTACTTTGAGATTGTATCTTTCAAGGATTTGTACAGTTAGTTTTTCTCACCCCAAGCGGTCTGTCAGAGCATTTTCTATTATGAAGATAGCATCCCATTTCCATATTACCCCATTTACACTTCCGTTTTTTACAGCTATCAAAGAGTCGCGTCAGTCCTCTAACCTTTTTGATATATATTTAAGGATTGAAAGGAAAGTAAACTGTTTAGTGCAACAAAAGAAATGTTTTAAATTCTTCAAATAAGATTGCCACATGCCCTCAGATTGGACAGGAGGGCGTGAAAAGAAAGATTTGCCCACGTTCTAAAATTACCACTAAAATATCCACAATAGGTTCATTGTTTTTATCAACCTAGATTGGTTTCAAAAATTAGATCTTTTACATCAGTCTGAGTTTTGAAGAATTAACTATTACCTGGTTTAACAATTATATGTCCACACTTTTAGGTCATACAAAGCCCTGCAGACTGATAACTGGATCAAGCAAAGGAGTAATCACTGTAACAGGCCTCCAGGATTAACACATTACTTTTGATGCACCACATGGTCTACTAACATCTTTCTTCGCTCAATCGCTCTTCTCTTACGTATTTTTACGGTGTATATAGGACTGTAATTAGCAACTGTTGATGAATCTGCCAATTATTTTCTGGGTTCACTGATTATTTGCTTTGTTAACAAGTGAATATGTGTCATGGTACGCCCCACCAGTCATACATGTTCCCCTCGGGAGCGGCTGCTGGGTAACGTACGGTGTTGTCTTTAGATTACTCGTCTTGTCAACAAAACAAAAGAAGGATATTCAATTTACAAGTATATGAATCAGAGCAAAGCATTAGGTAGACAATTAATTTCTTTAAAAATGGCATATAATTGCCTACAATTTTCCATTATTCTTCACCACACAATCCCACTGGAACAGCTGTTCTTACAGGAATCGTCCTTAATGGCCAAAAGGGACAGTTGATTCTTTGTTTTCTTTTGTAGTTTGATCAATTAAAAGCACTGGTGCCCTGGTGTGATGCAGACTTTGCTGGTTCATGGGGCGGTAAAGGCTCTTGAGAGAAACACTCGGCCTTCCTGACACATGGGGTGGGAGGTGGGCTTTCAGGGTAGTAGGAGCTGGCCCTGGGTGGGCCTCCTCTCAGGGGCCCCTATAATTCCAACTCCCAGCTGCAGAGAATAAGCCAGCAGCATGGTGCATGCACAGACAGGGAAGCTCAGGGAAATGAGATACTATATTACCAAGTGATCGCATTTAGCCGAAACAGGTGTTATTATCGCCATCGCTGATTCATGGCACTCCTGCACAAGCAGATATAAATAGCCGATGATGTATGTACAGAAGTTACCGTGCCACTCAATGTCTACCTTGCATTACTGAATGAATCATCTAAATACATCTCAAAGCTAAATTCAATTAAACGGTAATATATATAATTACAGGGAGAGCAATAACAATGGAAAATCAAACATTTTGTGTTGGCACAGTGTTCCCAAAATGCTCACATCTGCAGTGGAGAAACTGCACGGGCTGATTTAAACCTCACTCATTTACTTCTCACTAACCCCAGTAAATGCCAAATAAAAATGATCCCTAGGCCAACGTGTTTGCCGCTAAGGTTAATGGGGAATCTCATGCAGATGTCGTGCCATTGTGCGCATGAATCAGCCCCTTTCATTTTGCTCCCGTCATTGCCGTAATTGAGCCCTTAGACGCGTTTCCCTATTGCCAAGACAAAACACAAGACATCTGCTAATGGCGTCAGCTGGAATACACATGCCAGTTGAAAGCAGACTGATGAGTGTATTCTCAAAGATGAACAAAATAAACACCAGTGATTCATTGTGCGAACCATGTATCTATCCTTAGTTGGAAACATTTGGAGGAAGAAAAGTGAAATATATGCATGAACACGCACGCACGGGGGAGAAGCACACGCTCTCTCTCTCTCAAATGAGTTGGTTTCTTAC